CCGCCGTGATGCTCCAGCTGCGTATTGTGGGTCTTCTCAGCCCTGTCTTACATGTCTTTATCCTCGTTCCTTCCTGAACGTGTTGGCTTTAGATTGCCTTTTCTTCCCCAGAATTCCTCTTCCTCAGCTCCCCAAAATCTAACCGCTTTAGAAAGGAAGCAAGGTCCATCTTGGCTTCAGAAGTAATAAGCCAGGACAGTTCTTGTGTGACCACATGGAAACCAGGCTGAACTTTGACCACATGTGGCTCATTTTGCTCCCCTTTCATCTCTACTTAAAAACATACATAGTTTGCCAGGGTACAGTGCGCATCTGGTCCGCAGCTGAGGAAACCTGCTGCAAAATTGAACACGGGGTAGCTTAGAGCAAAGAGGTCTTTTTACTTATCATGTTGGTTTTACCTAGTTTTGTTTTAGTGGAGTCTACTGCGTGTATTTGTGTTAAAATATTTATAGGCCTCCAAAGAATACAGCGGGGGGGGGTGTGGTGTGGGGTGTGTCTTCTCCCATTTTTTGCACGTATTTCCTTAATTATTCTTTATTTTTACTTATGTATGTATATTTTAATAATTTCTCAAGAGATTTACTAGATTCAGCGTGTTAAATGCGGAACCTGTAGCATTTATTGTGTAAAAGGTAGTTGTTCCAGCGCACAACCAAAGGGGGAGCACTTAAACTATTTTTGAAGACTGCACGTATTTTGTGATTGTACACTGACACGGAGGCAAGCGAAAAACACTTACAAACAATGAAGTTCTAAAAATTAAGAGGAAAAAAATACAAGCTATCGTGGAATGTATTATCTTGGTATACCAAGAGGCAGATGTGATGTATCTTGAGTGCTACAGTTGCGCTTAATGTTGCTTATGCTTATTCTTGCCTTGGTTACTTACAAGAGACTTATGCAGCTTAAGAATAAAAACAAGAAAAAAAATCTGCACTCTTTTTTACACTGTGCCCTTTCTGTTACTGGATTTCACTAGCGAGAGCTCTTTTCGTGCAGCAGCACAGAACTTGGTGTCAATTTACAGGTACTTCTTTTTTTTTTTTTTTTACAGCCTTCAGTAGCTAGTCCGTCATAGATCCACCCATAGACCTTCTTTACTGTAAACCAGCTATTCCCTGCCTCCTCTTCCTGCTAGCATTTCAGTCCAGAAGTTAAGGAGTTTGAAACTTAAAGACTTCCTTGAATTTCTTTGGTAACAATCGACGTTTAGTAGAGACTGGAAACAATGCTTCGGGTGATTGTGGAGTCTGCTACCAACATCCCTAAAACCAAGTTTGGGAAACCAGATCCTATTGTTTCTGTTATTTTTAAAGGTAAGGAAAACTGTCATAAACGGGTTCAGGGATGAGGTTTTCTGAAGGATGGTGCCCTACGTAAGTATTTGAAAATCTGTGAAGACATGTTTTCCTGAAGTTACATTTGATGTAACTTTAGGAAGACTTTTTAATTAGAGAGGCACAAGTTACCTGAATGAAGTCTGAACTGGGTGGAGTGCATTGGTCTTCTCCAGCCAGCAATGCTTCTGTTTCAGGATCCATGTTTTACAAGTTTTTGCAAAGGCTTAGCCCTTTGCTTTAAAAACTCATATCTAACTGCATAGATAAATCCACTTTTAATTCTGGTTACCTTGTTTTCCATCTGAAAAAATCATTCATCTGTCTTGATTACTTTGTACAGCCACTGCTCACCGTTACACCAATTTTTATTGTGACTGGTTTATTGTTGTTATTACCAGCATGTTGAAAAACAGTTGTACCATTACTGAAAGTGTTTGGTTGTGTTGTTTTTTTCTTCTTACAAACTCAATTGCACTTTAAAATTTTGCCTGTTGAAATTATTTAATTTAAAATAAAGTTTTACGAAGGAAACCACATTTTAATTGCTTGTCAGATACGTATGAGAGAAGGAGTAAACAGTGTGATAAAATTACCATTTATATGTAAAGCTGATTATATTTTGCAGTATATTTTATTTGCCATAATTTCCTCACTTGGCTAGACTAAAGGAACTTAATTTCAAGTATTGATTTATCTTTAAGGTGCAGAAACCTCCAAGCAATTTTGGATCATGTAATACATTCAACCAGACTGTGACAAAGAGTCATCTTAGTGCCTGGTGGCCTGATTTCCTAACTGTGCATTGAAATGGAAATGGGTTTTCCTAAAGTATGAAAAATCATTGCAGGGTTTTGTCACCTTCAGAAACCAAATCTGAAATCATGACATTTTGCTGGAGGCTGGAAAAGGATAAGGCAGTGCACATCCAGTATCTTAAGTTCCAAAATAAGAAGTTTCCATATACTTTATTTCAGCATCAGAAAGATGTGATATCACTCCATTTCCTTTCTTTTCCTCTTCTTTTTCGAGTTTGTTTTTTCACCCCGCTGTGTGTTAGGGCAAGTGGCTGAGCCTGTCTCAGTAGCTTTTGGAACTTCCTAGTTCTTAAAATACAATTTTGTTTGCCCTACAAAAAGTGCTGTTACTGGTGTACTGTAATTTCTCTGGTTTGTTCTGTTTGTTTCTGCTGCTTTTTTAAGCATTCATATTCTCTTTTCAGGTCCTTGTCTTTCTCTTTGCTTTACTGTCACAGTTTTGCCTTTCTGTGTTACCTCTGGTCCTGCAGTTTCACACTCCAGAGTTGCTTTATGCCTTTGCTTCTTTATGCCTTAAGTGTCTGTTTAATTCCTCCTTGTAATCTTTTGTTCCTACTGTGTGCTCTAATGCAATTCAGGTTTTCCTAGTAAATGTAAGTTACAGATTATTTTTTTTTCTGCATTGCTGGATTTGTTTCTCAGCCCTTCAGTTATCCAAACATAGGGATTGGGCAACAGCCATTAAAGGAATGAGTTTATATTTACCCTTTATGTGCTATAACTGGGATTTTTAATGTTCACAAACATGATTAACCATTGTCTTAAATACAGCTTTGTAAGTGGGACAGTTTTTTAGTAGGATATTTAATTTCTCATTATACCTGTCACTTATTTTTATGTGGATTTACTACATACCAACAGTCTTGATTTTTTGCTTTCTGTCCACAGTCATTCAAAGGGCCATAAAATGTCAGGCTTTTGCCACCTATTGAGCAGCTCTGATTTAATTTGTAAGTGGTGTAGCTGGCTGCCAGGTGCAAGGGCATAGGGATCATATCTGAAATGTGTTGAACTTCTGGCTGTTTATGTTTATAGTTGTTTTTTTTTATATACAGCCTGTTCCCTCTGACCCTGTTGGTGTGTAGAGATGGGAAACCAGTCATATTTTTGGGAAGGTGTATGTCAAAGGGCAGCAGTCTTTAACAGTTGTCCATACACACTGTATCTCCTGGAGGACATAAAAAAGCACAATTGGGAGTTCGTTTTCCAGACTGGGAAAAACTCAGGCATTTGCAGGACTTTGGCCATAGCCCTGCACTACATTTTCATGTTCTTGTTTGACTCTGGACTATTCTTGGAGAAGTCTTAGAGAACAGCACTTATTTGACAGAAAATTGCCATGGAAGTTAACACTTCATTGAGCAGTGTTTTGTCTATTAGCTTTTTCAAACTTTAATTTACATAGCCTTTGCTGGCGTCGGGTTTAGTAATTTTAAAACTTCAGTGAAAATGTGCAGTATCTCTCAGGATTAGACCTTTATGGCTATGCTGTGAAGAAAAAGGCCATGATCCTACAACTATTAGTATGTGACTCTGCAAACACTTTGTATGTTAACACACATGTTAGTATAGTTTCATCTATGTATAGAATAGAGTTCATCAAATTTGTGTACCTACGCTAATTATAGGCTATACAGCCAGTGCACTTAATACAGTGACATGTATTAGGTACGTATTAAGAGGAAATAGGCAGGTGTTTCTGTTGTGATATCTCATTTACAATAGAGGAGGTTTGTGCAGGCATTTGACTTTTTTTACACATTTATATTCAGTCGAGTGGGATGGTACTTAACTTTTATTTACTTTAAGAACAGCTCACTGTTCAAAGAGAACTACACCCTGAGTAAACGAGTATTGCTGTCTGGAACTGGGTGCTGTTACTGCAGAATTCCAAGTTCAGCATCACTCTACATGAGACAAATTATTAGTCAAATTAATTGCAATTGTTGCAAATTGCAATTTGGCACTAAGTGGTAATGATTAAACCAGCACAATTCTTTTGGTTTGTCAGATATACCGTACTGGAGAAAAATGTGTCAGATTCTTGGTTTTAGGTGTAAAAATTTTACACAGTTGCTTATATGTGCAGTCAATACTGGGACATTCAGTGCTTTGATCTTTGATCTTCCTTTTCACTGCCTCATTCAGCTTTATGCATCAAAAACTGATGTGAAACAGCATTCGGTTTGATTGGGCCAGCTTAAATTTCTTTTTCCATTTGTGCTTAATCTAAGCGCTTTCCAGCAGGCCTGCAGCTATGTTAGTTTATGTTTCAGTGTGTGGAAAAAAAAGAGTATTAGAGTACAATTATGCACTAAACTGGTATTTTCTGTTTTGCGGAGAGATAAATTACCCTAACTTTAATTTCCTGGGTTTTGGAGGTCTGCCTGTTTGATCCTGCAGTGGCTGCCACCGTGCAATCTTAATTCTTCATTCACAAAAGTTTTACGAAATGTGATTCTCCCTTGAATCTTAGACTTAAGACTGTTCTAAAAGATTATGTTTGCTTCTGCTATTCCCCACCTGCTGAAATTGATAAAATTCTAGTTATAATAAAAGGAAAAAATTAAGATTCAAGCATGGGTTGTTTTGCAGTACTGTAATTATCTTTCTAATGATGGAACAGTTATTTAAACAGCTCATCTTGAATGAATTCTTTTGAACACTGTCATCTCTTGGACAATCACTAAGTTCTTATTACATTCATTTCCAATTCAGAATATTGAACATGTGGTTATTGTATAATGCCTCTATCAAGATAAAGCAAATAATGATTTCTCCTACAGTACCAAGGTCATTGTAATTAGTTTTTAAAGGAAACAAGCCTATAGAGTGTCCTACCTGTATCCGTTATCACTTCTTACTCTTATTTCTTCATAGGGCCAAATTAAAAATGGTGACTGTCCCTGTCTTACAGTTTACCCTGATGTGGTTTAGTCTTGGCTACTGTAGCTGGATTAATTACCATGGAACAACTGGGCAGTCCATCTTACTCTGCTTGGCAAAGATTTTTTTCAGTGGGAAGAAGAAAGCTCTTTGTCAACAGCTTTTAAAACAAAAAACCTCCAGTGCATTAAAAAATGATAAAAAATGTAATAAAAAGAAAGTCAGTAAAGTGAAGTGAAGAAAATACATGCTCGAGAAATGTGACTGCTATACTCAGCCTGACTAAAATTGCAACTAAAACCAAAACCCAATGTAAGCTTTGTTTCCCAGTGTTTTTCGTCCAACACAAATGCTTAACGCAAAAAAGTATGTTTCTTGGTATAATCTCAAATATACATGTTGTTAGTGGAATCATAAATCTTACTCTTGATTTTATGAAAATGGATAGTCCAGAATGGAAAATTTTACTCATTGTCAAGAATTGTCTTGACTGTTGCTCAATCCAGCAGGGTTTCCTTACTTTACAGAGTTCCATTTGAGCTTAGCCAGGGATCACAGGACTTTTATGGTCTGTGATTCATTATCTCCTTTACAAACAGCTGCAACTGTTCCTTTTTTTCACCAGCACTGAGAACATCTTTTCCCTGACTCCCAGCTCCTGTTTGTAGGGGGTCTTGGAGTACCAGTGCCAAACCCCAGATATTCTGGGATATTCAGTTTTGAAAATGCTTTGTCTTCTATTAGATAATAGGAAGTTAAATTTCTCTTACTAGCATGTTAATTAGTTCTTTGTTCTGCAAAATGCAAGTCCACAGCATGGTATGTTATGAATGCTCTTTCCTTTGCGGTATGATGTGAGTCAATATCCTGTACAAATTGTAGACAATTCCTGTTACATAAATGTGAGTCAGTTCTTGCAATTTGCAGTATGGGCTGACTTTTTTTCTTTCAGTACATCCCACTCTCATCCAATAAAAAGAGCCACCACAGCCTACTGCTGAAATAGTGGGTATATGGACTTGCTCATGTGGCATATCTTTACCCTCGCTTCCCAGGCCTTTGCGATGTTCTCCTGGAAAAGTACAGCCATAACTTGCAAAGAGTAAAAATGCTATTACCTTTACTGTAGTCCTTAAATACAAGGAGCATGTCTGAAACTCAGCCTTCTTGTGGTGGCTGAGCATTTTATGGATCAGCAGATAGGTTACTGACTGTACTTAAGAATACTAATTTGTTATCACTAATATATGCAATTTCTGTTTAGAAAGCTGCGTGTTTGCCAGTGTACTTTTGTGCTTCTGAGTGTCATCTCAAGACTTGTTTTCCGTTAGAGCTATATACATGCAGTACAACTGAAAAGTAAAAATAAAGCTGTGGCATGTTACTTGCTTTGAACCTGTTTAAGAACAGAATTTTGTTTCCCTTTTTAATAGGTGAGGGGGGTCTGCAAAGGGCCTCTGCAACACTTGAGTTCTATTATTCCTCTCACAAGAAGGAATTTGAATTGAAATGCCACACTATATATAATTTACACCACACTCCATGCTCCCATGATTTCGTAGGTTGATCAAATGCAAATTTTACTATGAAGTATGGAAAATTTATAATTTTTAGGCTCAGTAAGTGTCAGTGAAGTGACCTGCATAACCTCTGCAAACCATTTTTTCAGGAAGGACTGCATTTCCTCTTATGTGCATGTGTATTTCTGCTAATATTTGCTCATTTAAAGCAGAAAGTGCTAACACTGTAAGCATACCTTCTTAAGATTTTTTTTTTCCAAGTGATTTTATTTCAGAGCTAAGCACTTAGAAGTATTTTGTAACTCGGATATGGTAAACGTGTAACACATTTTCTTTGCTACTAAAGTTCATCACTTTGAGGTTACTATTTGGCTTGATGTCTTGAAGTCTTTTAGTCTGTCTTTTTTTATCATTACTGAAATTGCAGTCAAGGGTCATAAAAGGTTGAGAAACCTAAACATTACTTTTGCTTTTTGGGAATACATCTAGCTATGTCTAAACAAAACAGAATAAAAAGCCTCAACTACTGAAATTGCCCAGGGGACTTCTTGATTATAAAACATGCAGCTACTGGAAAAGGCAAAAAGAATCGGAACATTTGGTTTAAAGCTCAAACTTTCCTTTGAAAAGTGAAAGGAAAAATCGTGATATTTGTGTAGTGCTTTAGCAAAATCAAATCATCACACTTTGTTTGTATTTGCAGATGAAAAAAAGAAAACAAAGAAAATTGACAGTGAACTTAATCCTGTTTGGAATGAGGTAATTTTTTTTAATCAATTCTTGCTTTTCTTTTAAGACAAAATGCTTGTAAAATTGGTAAGTTGATTTCTAGAGTTGTGAATATTGGTTAGAAGCAGGAACTAGTGATCTATGTTCTTTCAAGGGGTTAGTAAATGCAGGTGAATAGATTAGTCTTGCACCATGTACTACAATTCATTAAGTAGTGTCTTTATGTAAAAGTAGATGGATATCTGGTGAGTTTGTGGCCTGGTTTTGTTCCCTCTTTGGACTATATGATATTCAGCCATTGCTTAGCCACATGTATGGGAACATATTTGGATCCTTTATCATATACCAGGAAAAAACCCTGCAGAATTAGAATGAATCATGTAGTGAAGTTCCTCATGGATTATTTGTAGGACTGGTCCTATTTTGCAACTTCAGTAATGCTTTTCTGAGGCAAATATTTTCTTAGTAGTGTTTTTTCACAACCAGAAATGAAAGTTAAAGATTATTCCTATATTTTGTAATTAGGAATATAAAGAAAAGGAACCTAAAAATATTTGTCTAAATTCCACAGCAACTGACTTGAACCAGTATTGCGGGGGAATAGTATCAGATCTTATGAATGGTAAGAAAATACTTATGTTAGTGTGAGGAAGTGGAACGCAAAAGAGGTTATGGCTCAGAATTGAACAATTTAGTTCTTTTTCTGTTATTGTCACAGTAACTAGCAAATCAAGAACATGCTGTGAGCATGTTCCCAGATTTTTAACATTGCTTTTGCAAATGTAAGCTGGTCTGGTCTGTTTCTCACTAAATGCAAAATCTATTTCTGATACTTTGTTGTATACAGTACCCTGCTGTTAATTCATTTACACGTAAGTTGCAATTATAATTTGGTTTTGCTCCATTTTTTTGTTCAGATTCTTGAATTTGACTTGAAAGGAATTGCTCTGGATAATTCATCTTCCCTGACAATTATTGTGAAGGATTTCGAAACGATTGGACAAAACAAGTATGTTGGTATTTTGGTGTGTTTTTTTTCCCAGTATTAAACACAACCTTCAACACAGAAGTCCAGGGAAAAAAATGGAACTGATAGTTGCTGGAGAGAAATGATGGATGCAATTAGATGGTTTCTGATATAATACCTACTTGTAGCGTATAAGCCAGTGGGCTTTCCATCCCTCACCAGTTAATATGAAGAAAAGCATTGGCTTTCTTTTCATACTTAATTTTAGACATACTGAAACTAAATTCAAGGAACGTTTTAGGCATTTAAGGCAGAATTTGGGTAAAATTTAGATCCCTTCACCTGTTACTGTCATTTGAAAGCCACGGCTGCCATATTTCAGTTGGTCCTTAACTTGTAATAAAGGTCCTTGTGTAACTAGATTTATGCCACTACAGCTACCTGGTGCAGGTTGACAACCTTCCTGGCCCAATGAATCATGAGTTCTCTGCACAGTCATTAAAAAGCTTGAACTTGAAAGCAAAAGTAACTTAGCCAAGATGAGCTTGTAGAACTCTCTTTTTGATGTCAGATGTGAGAGTAAAATCTGTGAGTAGGGAAATTAATCTGACTCCAATTGTTGGCCGAGTGTTATAAGCCTCAGGCTTGTTGCATATATGGAAGATTGGCAATGCTGTTGCTACGTCCTCTTCTTGTTATGTTTTAAAAACATGTTTAAAAATAGATTGAGGATTTTTTCATTGGTCGGTGGTTTGGGGTTTTTTGGGGTTTTTTTCTGTTGTTTTTTTTAAAGGAAAATGTGTAGTTTGATATTAAGAAAGCCTTCTGTGAAAAGTAAAGTGAATAACCTCAGCAGAGGAAGAAAATGGATACCTAGCTTCCCGTTCCTTAGAGGAGGGCTCTAGACTGTTATAAAAATGGGGTGGGAGGCTGCTGACACTTGCCTTTTCTGCCATTCATTTCTTGGATAGGAAAGGCAGAGACTCCTACTATCAGTAACTGATTTAGACTATAGGTCTTCAGCAGGTAGAAATACCTGTTTTCATGATGCCCCTAACATGCAGGAATTTAAGACTTTTTCCCTCCTGTGCCATTTTTATTTTGGTTAGTGCTGTTAGTGCGTGTCGATAGGCTTGAATCCTACTCTAAAAGCCTAAACTCTACCAATGCAGTATGTACAGCCCCTATATACCTAAAATTGGGTTCTGCATTTTTCAGACATCTAAAAATCAAATATCATGGGATCTAAGTCTGCAGATCTTTTTGTGTATGGTCCTTTGTTTCATTTGTGAGAGGCTAAAGGAAAGTTTCATTTGTGCAGTTGTTGTTGAGTCCTCAGTGCTCAGACAAAAACTTCTTCAAGCAGTATTAAGATGCTTAGTTTCAGTTTTGACAAAATCAGGTTTTATTAGTAATTTTAGGGAACTGAAGATAAACAGTAGCTATATCTACATGTGCTTGGAAGGCTATCACACAAAACACAAATAGATTTCCTTCAACTCAAAAATGATAAATATGTCTAGTTTTCCTACACATGAAGTAATTATAGCAGAAAATATGCACAGAGTGTAAGATTTTCTGGAAATGATTTTTATTTTTTTAGTTTAATCTTGTGGCCAAAGACATGGAGAAAGGAGCCACCTTGAATTGAGTCTTCTAGGTTTATATGAAAGGAGATGACATTATAAAAAGTTTTAGAGCACTGAAATGCTGTCAATGTCTATGGTGGCATTTAAATATTTTTGGTAGGTTTATACTCTTACAAAATAGAAACATGTGATAAGTGAGCATGTAAGTAGTTAAGGTGTCTTGTTTTATGAACTTTTAAGAGTAATCTTTGTATTTTTCAAACTTCTTTTTTTAAAAGTAAGACTAGATTTGTTCTTGTGAATTGATCTGATAGGACCTTTTGACTACAGCCATTGCAAAAGTTGTTTCTGTGAAAAATTAAAATGGTGTGTATGGGAACACTGGAATATATGAAATTCAGTAAAGCTGGAGGGTACTTTTTGTCATTTTGACCTGAGCTTTGAGGTTCGTGCTGAATTTGTGATGCAACAAATACATAAGGCAGACTCTAACAAGTTTTGTGTGGTTCTGAACCACATAAATCTGGATAGAGATTTAGAAAAAAAAACCCCAAACATGTATCTGGAGATTTGTAGGATTTAAACTGTAATTTAATATCAGAATTAGAGGTGTACAGGATACTTTAAGTAGTGCATGCTGATCATTTCAGTGAAGAAGACTTAAATTAACAGTTGAAATTGTTAACAGCCTCTTGTGTTCTGTGTGCCATTTGTTTTATGACTCGTTGCACAAATAAACCTGGTCTCTAAAATCAATTGCAGGAAAAGGGTAAGGTCTTGGATGGGGGCAAGCTAATCAGAAAGCTTTTCTTTTAGATAATCCACAGCAGGGATAGAGTGTCTAATTTTGTGTTGAAACATGCTTGTACTAGAAGCTCCGGCAAAGTCTAGGAGTTCTTTCTTGATATGCATAACAAGATAAAGCTTCATCAATGTGTTTGATCTTTAGCTAACCCATAGAGGTTAAGATCTGCCTATCTCTGCTTGAATCATAGGATTTTTGTCTAAAAAAGGTAAATATATACATTTGGACAAGTGTCACTCACAAAGATTTTTTTTGAATCTGTGCAGGGAAAAAAGAACAGGTTAACAAAAGTGAAATGCCAGTTCCCTACTTCTTTGTATAAAGTCCTAGATTTTAAACAAGGATCTACTTCTCTGCTTGCTGTGCTCTCATGCTCTCTCTTTTCTGTCAATGCCAAGTAGTGTTGGCTATTGCTGTTTTGAAAGGGAGTATGATATCTTGTCATCATCTTCCCTTTTTTTTGTGTGTGTGTGGCAAACTTGGATATATTACGACACTGAGCTAGGCATACATTCATGTTTATTGACGCTAGTCCATTTCCATTGTTAGCTTTTCTTTACTACTTTGTGCCTCTTCCCAATATATGAATTCAGGTTTTTACAATACTCCCAACAGCTCTGTTGTAAAATCACTGCGTCAAGCCAATGCCCCCAGATCTCTCATTCTTGAAATTCCTGTAGGTCAGTGAAGCAGGAATACATTGCATGCCTCTGACTTCAGGGAAATCCCAGAAATCACAGAACTTGATATGGGAAAGCTTGGCAGTAATCAGAATTTTGTAATGGATTTCATAACATATTGGAAAATAAAGGGAAGTGCTTATCTGAAGCCCCTAAAATGTTTCACTCTCTACATAAGTTCAAAGTTAAGCAGGCATGTGTTTGTTTTTTTCAACCTGTATTTGTAAGTGTCATCTGGACTCATATTTGTAGCACTTAACCCCCAGCTAATGCAAAGGCCTGTTTAATTTGCTTGGGTTTATGCACTGCAAGTTGTCCACCACTTACTTATTCTGTGTACAATTAGAAAAGTAAACCAGTAAAATTCTTTGGGAAAGTGACTTCCATGTATGGATCTGTGCAAAAATATATGAAGTCCATACGAAAGACAGAGCAACACCTTCAAAGTAATGCTCTGAAAATAAACCCTCAATACCTGCCACATATTTACCATGATGTGTTTGGAAGGGCTATTGGCTGGGAAACAGGATAAGGGGGTGAGAAGTGGGAAAAACACATACATAGCCTTCTTGACTGTAACAAGATAATAGAAAACGTCATCTTGGATTCCTTTTAAAGACACAAAGTACTGAAGCAGCAGAAGAGATTCGGTACTAATGAACATTCACATTTAGTCAAAAGAGCGTATGAAAGAGGGAATGTAGAACGAATTTCCCACATACTGCTTGCGTGTATGTGTAACCTGTATTTCTGTAGAGTTACTGATTCGATTTACTAATACTGAGTTTGAGAAAGATTTAGGATTACCATGTCATAGTTTTGCCATTCTTTCACAGTATCTTCTTTTCATAGTTAAGAAAACATCTATAGTTAGATGCATGTCTGCAGTGTTGCAGCATTCCAAAAAGACACTCCATGGAAGAGTGTGCAAATGACACTCCCTTGCTTTGTCTGCGTGCTGGTTCAGGATTGGAAAGATGGGGTACGATGCCTACCTAATGTCCTTTCTACTGAGAGTTATTATAATGACAGTTTCAAAAAAAAAAGGGGGGTGGGGGTGGGGGAGTGAGGGCTGGACAATATTGTATTAATTTTTACATGTAAATTTGATGTGGTTAACTGAACTGAAGTCTTTTTGAGGTAAAGGCCCATTATTTCAGAAACTCAGTGTTTGCCTTGTGCATTTGACAGTATTCATCAGTAGACCCATTAACCTGGGAGGTATATCTGGTGCTCGAACTTTCTGCCACCATTCTTTGCTGCAGTGCAGGCTAGAAGGAGAACAATGTGTTTCTCAACCCAACTCCCTCTTGCTGGCTTCTGCAAAGTTACTAGCTAATACACACTCTGCTATTCCATGCAGTGTTGCTCCTGATAAGTTCTGGGCACATATAGTCTGTTGCTGCACCTAGGAGGTGACTACAGAACCCGTAGTCCCCTCTAGAACAACGGAGCTGAAGTTTGCAATATCACCCCTGATTTGTTATAGCTCCTAGAAACTTGCATAGCTGTTCGTCCAGCCCGTTCTTATACTGACGCAGGAGGAGCAGCACAGTGGATGTTATTCTGGTTTTACACTGTGCCAAAACACTTTACTCATTGCTTTGGCATGTTTCTGTAAATCAAGCCTGAAAGAACATTTGAATACTTTTCCATTTCTTTTTTCCTGGAGATAGAATTTACTGCTTCATTTACAAGATCACTAAACTTTTGCAGATAGATTAAATAAGTGCTTTTCATGCTAAAAAGACACAGTCATTGGAAAAGATAAATAAAGCAAACCACACTGACATGTATGAAGACAGACCTTCATAGGAATAAACTAGAGAGGGCTCATATGATCCATGCTTAGTTAGATTTTCCAGCATAAAGATGTTTGAAAAGAGAACACATATGTTTTCTATTATGTCTGTTAGTAGAAAGATTTCAAACTCTCAGTACACAAATCTTTATGCACTTAAAAAAACA